TCTTCTACTTTCTCCAATAAGTTTTCCGTTTTTGTTGGTGTGAAATTCGGTACAAGTGATCGTCGGGGAGAGTTGATTATTGATTGATTAGTTCTATTTTAAAAGAATTTATATTATAAATAAAATATAAGTATATATATTTTAAAAAAAATATACAACAATAAAACAATATTGAAGATTTTTGGCAAAAAAACAAGTTAATTAGTTGAAAATATAACAAGTTTTAATATATAAGATTTAATAAAAAATATAATGAGTTATATATAAAAATAAATTTAATAACAAGAAATTAGATATTTGATATATAAAAAATTCTTTATCAGTTCAGTTTTAATTGAATTATTTTTCTTAGAATATACAGTAAGTTTTAGTATTAAATATATTAAATAAATAGAAATAAAGTAGAGATTACTATATTTAATAATATATAATTTTTAGTAAACCAATATAGCCTTTAGAATTACATAACTATTTATAAAACTTTTTGACAAGACTTTCTTTTCTTTTTATTTTTTGATTTTTGATTTTTTTTATGTTTCTCTTTTATACAGTTTTTTAATATATTTCTTCTCTTAGTAAAAAACTTTTTATCTCTTTATGAATAAATAGTATTAAATTGATGTTGTTTAATTGTAAAATAACAAACAGATAAATTTGATTTAAACTGTAGCAGTTCTAATGCAACAGGTCAATTGTAAATGCCAATTGGGTAATTACATGATGATAATACAAAGGTTAAATAAAATTATATTGTATATTGTTTATACTGAACTTTTATAAATAAACATCTAACTGGTAACTATCAGAACTGCCAAAAATAAATAAATAATAATAATAAAAAAAAAGATAAATAAAAAAATTTATAACAAAAGCAGAAAATAAGCCTATATAATATATAGTTCCATCCCCTGCTTTTGCTGTAGACGTTTCCAAATCTCATCTGATAAATATTAGAGATTGGAGCCGTTTAACTGTTTAAAAATTGCTTTATAGTTCCGAGCAGAATTATGTTGATCGTGGGCCGGAATTATTTTAATGCCGGCCAAATTAAACGGTTAAACGATTAAGAAAATTTTTAGGAGGTTACATTCTTAGCAGATATATAATATTTTGAAGTACTAAAACCTTGAAATAAATAGAGATTATATATAGAAGGGCATGGCAACGTCTTATTGGGTATTGATATATTCGGATAAACAAGAGCTAACGCACTATATACATACTATTTGTGTGTAACATGAATGGATAATTCTCAATCCAGCAATAGACCGAATCAAGTAATTCCAGTAATTCTTGCTAATGTTAACACAAACTGTTGCACAAATTGCATAATGATAATAAATCGTTAATAAAAATTTTTCAAACGAGCCTTTTACTATCAATCTAAAACTTCTTACATCTGCTGTATTATTTAAACTAAAAGGATGGCGGCAGAGTACAAGCAAATTTTGAATGAAATTCAAAAACAAAATGGTAACAAGGTAAACCATTATTTTCTTTGTAATAGTTTTGATTGAAAAGGGTTATATAATAAAAACCTTTTTTTATGTAGAACTGTGTGGATTGTGGAGCACCGAATCCACAGTGGGCTTCAGTTTCTTTTGGTATTTTTATTTGTTTGGAATGTTCAGGCGTACATCGATCATTTGGGGTTCATGTTAGGTTTGTATCAAGGAGGTTTATTTAAACATATAGACTATGATATAGTGCTAGGCTGCATTAAATCGTCTCCCTTAAGTGATAAACATTGAAATTTTGGGTAGACAGATCGAATGAATAATCTACAATGTTATGATTCGAATTTCAAGAAATTGATGTTCGCGATTTCAAATATGATGTCAAGGAAACATCAACAAGTGGGTAAACCTTATTTATTTATTGTGATCTTATTGATATTATTCAAATTCAGTTTTGTTCGTTCAATCACGATGGATAAATGGTATGAAGATCAAATAAAAAAGATGAAAGTAAGTTTGTAAATTTCTATTATGACTAATTCCAAAATCTGAAATATTATTTAAATAACGAAAATATTTAATTTACTTGTAAATAAGCTTGGAGGTAACACAGCATGGCGAGACTTTTACGAAGCTTCATCAGATTATTATCCAGAGATGTCTTTAAAAGATAAATATCATAGTAGCTTTGCATCAAGTTACCGAGAAAAGGTTCGAGATAACACATTCATAATTATTTTGGTGAATAATTAAATCTAATATATACTTATTTTAGTTAACAGCGCAATGTGAAGGAAGAAAATGGACATCACCATCTTCAACATCAATGAGTCGCCAATCAAACCGTCCTACATCAATCAGTAGCAAACGTACTTCTGTTCAAACACCTAATCGAGCAGACACATCAAGCCCTTCGTCTTATAAATCATATCAATTAGATAATAATACTAATGGGGCTTTACCAAACGAGACACGTAATGAAGCATATTTTGCAAATCTTGGACGGGCTAATGAAATCAGACCGGATAATGTACCACCAAATCAAGGCGGAAAATATACTGGATTTGGTAATCCAGCATTTACAAATGAACCTTCATCGACCTCAAAATCTGCACCGGATCTAGACGAATTAATCAAAAACCCAGTTGGTGCTTTGACTAAAGGTTTAAACTTTTTAGGATATCATGTCGTAGAAGGTGCTAAATTGGCTGCTCAAGGTGCAGAAACCCTAGGACATACTGTTAATGAGCACGTGATAAAGCCTACTACCGACAAAGTCAGAGACCCGGAATTCACTCAACAAATTTCTGGGTACGTGACAGGGATTGGTAAAACGGTATGTAATCTGATTACATAAATAATAAAGACATAAAAGTTCTTTGATTTTTGTAACTATGAAATTATTAACAAAAAAGTTTTATATAGGTTACTGAGACTGCATCTCGTGGAATTTCGACCATCTCCACATCTGCAAGTTCTTTTGCTCGATCAAATTATTCAATAATTAATAATGAACGATTTAATAATAATTCTAATAACACTTATAATAGTAATAATAATCATAATGATAATGATAATAACGATGATAATGATTTCTTCTCTGACACGATGAATCATTATCAACAAACCAATTCTCCGATCAGTAGAAGTAATTCACCATTAAATCGTACTAATGTTACTACGCGTTCTGCGTCGCCAAAATCTTCTGCTAGTTCAACTACACGAAGAAGGGGTGAATCGAAAAAAGACGATGGATGGGAAGATGAATGGAGTAGTTGGTGAAAATGTTTGTTTTTTTTTAAAAAAAAACAGATCAAATATATTCGTATAGACATCTTAAATTTTATAAACAATATTTGTTAGTTTATATTTTATTTGATTAGGATGGATAGATAAATAGATATTACATGTTTAATTTTTAAAACCATAAAATTAGAAAAGTAAATTACTATACATACATTATTAAAGTTATTGTTGATTGAATAAATACTGCGGCACGCGAACTACCGGCTCGATGCATGTTGATTATAAAGAAGTTTCTGAATTTGGGGTTGACTCCACTTACACAATACAAAAAAATAATTGTCATTTGATCATACATGTTACATGCATATTACACGGGCTTCTGTTTCGGAAAACGACTTGGCTATCAAAATTTTATCAGGATCCAATCCCAAGTGAAACTCGACTTGTTGGTAAAGTATATATTTTTCACAACCGTTAAAATTACTATTTTCGCATTTAAAACGATTAAGTCAAAGATCTCTTTAAACCCTCATATACCAATACTGTTCTTTTAGAAATACAAATTAGACTTTTAAAACACAACTAAAGTTAGACAATGATTAAAATCTGGTCAATCAAGAAGGATAGTTCTTCAGCCGAAAAAAAAAAATCGAAAATTAGTGCCGCTCAGATTCGTGTTCAAAAAGGTATATTTATACATTTCACTTTCTTTTTGTTGCTTTCTATGGTTTGAATCGTTTATTTTGCAATCACTGTTCATTGATCTTCAGAAGCTACTGCTGTTTTTTCTTGGGCCTCTCTGGCAAGAAAAGTTCTTACTTGTGTTAAAACCTGTCTTTTTAACAAGTTCCACACTAACCTTAAACTAATACTATTACTCTTTTTACTTTATAGACTTAACTGAGCTGGCACTCCCGGATACAATGCAAATGAGTTTTCCGGATGAATCAGATCTTCTCAATTTTAACTTGTCTATAACACCTGACGAAGGTTCGTTAGTGAGACTTTTATGAAGTCTTTTATCACTTTTATCTAATGTTGATTTGGTATAATTATGTTAGGCTTTTATCGAGGTGGTGTGTTTAAATTCACTTTCAACATAAACAATAATTATCCTCATGACCCTCCAAAGGTTCGCTGCACTCAAAAGGTAATAAATAGCTTTTGATCATATTTTGGTTAATAAGTAAACAGCGAACAGTTCTATTTGAATTTATTCATATGGGCTGCCGTCGCCTAAAATTTTTCTTAACCGTTTAATTTGTCTGGCATTAAAATAATTCCGGCCCACGACCAATATAATTCTGCCCGGAACTATGGTGCAATTTTTAACGGTTAAACGGTTCCAATCCCTACCATCAATAGAAATCAAGCAGATCGACATTTTAAAAAAAAGATAACTCAAATTTTATAGTTCATATCTCGATGAAGTTTGAAGCTATTTTAATGATTCAATAATCAAAAAAAAAAAAAAGCCTAGATCCTAGGTTTCCTTTTGAATATTAAATCATCAGAATAAATTCACAATTTTCCGATATACGAGCCATGAAAGTTGAAGTGTTGATTAAAATGTAAATCTGCTTGATTTTTATTGACGGCAGCCCATATATGATTATAGTCAATTTTTATTAAATCTATATATGCTTTATATGTTTTGTAGATTTATCATCCCAATATTGATCTTGAGGGTAATGTTTGTCTGAACATCCTTCGTGAAGATTGGAAGCCTGTCTTGAATTTAAATTCTGTTTTGGTGGGATTGCAATATTTGTTCTTGGAGCCAAATCCTGAAGATCCGCTCAATAAGGGTAATGTATTTGACATTTCATCGAAATAATGTTTTCTCTTTTTTTTTGATGATTATTTCTAACCCATTTTTATTATTTCTGTTTTTAGAAGCTGCTGAGGAGATGAGAAATAACCGGAAAAACTTTGAATACAATGTAAAACAATCGATGAGAGGTAAAGATGTTAAGGGCGTCTATTTTGAAAACGTACTATCCTAGACATTCGTTTCCTTTCTATATTACTGTTGATCCTCTTTATACCGAACTTTGCCTATAACCAACTGGAAAGGTTCTGAACAAATAACTTACATTTATTTACACTCGATATACCGACTTTATGTAATAAATTTGCTATACCGCATCCGAACCTAATTGTTTGGTCAGTAACCCACCACATACATATTTTATATAACGAACTCTCTTTTAGAATTTACTTATATAAGATCGCATAAAGCTTAATGTCTCATATTTTATGGACTTATTAATAAAAGCTGGCTTGTTATGGTAAAAAAAAAAAAAGGCCTTTATCACGTTCCATTGGTCAAATTTCAAAGATGTGTAACATAATGAAAAAAACACGTTATATTTTTAATATACAGATATACATGATACGTACGTAGTAAATTTTAATAATGATAAACGATAACGATAAGGGATATTGTTTTTTATTGTTCCATAAAAAGTAGTTTCCATTTTAAAATTTAAAGTTACAATCGATTTTCGAAAATAAGTTCTCTAATCCTGTTATTTTGCCAAACTGACGTATGGGTCAATGCAAAAATGTAGATGATTAATTTTGTTTATATACAAAACCTTTTACTTTTAACTATTTGTTTGCAATTTTTTATAATAAATAAAGCAGGTTTTGGGTTATTTTTTAATATCTTTATTAGGGGCTTCTGGAAATCAGTTGATTTTTAGGTGGGTGTGTGGGTCAGCTAATGTGTCAGGTGTAATTCCAACCAAACTTTTATAATTCTGATCAAAATTATAATATTTAATAACTAGATAGCTGCGTGACGTCATCGCGCAAAACCAGGAACGGAAATTGTGAACAAAAATAAGGTCATACGTATTTAATTCGATTTTCAAGGATTAAGACCTTTAAGTTATAACTCTCTTGGCAATATTCATGTTTATAACACGCGTAAGCAAGCTAATTACATCGTCTTAGGCTGCGAGACAAGTATTACATACTAGTACTATGTGTGACACTTACGCACTACCGATCTTACCCATCCTGCTCAGTAGTGTTCCGAGTTGGTAAAAATTTTTCCAATCGATTAGTTGTCAACTATAGTTGCAACTAATCAACTTTTTCTATTATGTGATTAAATTTGTTGATTGGCTAATCAAACTAAAGAAATCAGCTCAAATAGATAGAATATCTTGGAATTTAATTAGTTAATGATTTAATCAACTAGTTGTTTTAAAAATTTTCAAATCAATTAGTTAGAAAGTTGTCAACTAGTTGGTTTTTCAACTAATAATTTGCATTATTACTGCTTAGTAATTGTTTTTTTTTTTTGTTTTCACTTAAGTTAATTTTTATAGTTATTGTCTTTTTTGTGTTTTTAATTATAATTATATGAGGTATGGCAACTTAGTGAAGTGGATAAGTTGTTAACCCTCCAAGTGGTAGGTAATGAGTTCAAAATCCACCAATAGTGAAAATTTGGATAATCATCTATGTAATCTATAAATGGTATTATAGCAATGATATTTTGTTGATTAGTTGGAATAAGACATTTGTAACACAATTACATTAGCATACTGGCAGGTTATAAAGCATTTGCACAATGTTGAAGTTACAAGCATGATGGACATTTGATTTGATTGGCTTGAAGATTACTAAGTTACACAACATAAAAAAAAATTTTAAAGTAACTCTTACTATAAAAAATCACATTGTCAATTGGCAACTTGTGGTTTTACATAATAATTTTTTTTAATATATATTAAAGTATTCTTTAACATTTTTTTTTTAATATTAAGTTAAGTACTTGTGACCTAGAATTTTATTAATAGTATATTTGGCTAATGGTTACATTACAACTACAGAAGGCAATTATGGAAAGAGTGTACAACTAGTCTTTTGTACAACTTTAATTATTGTTTAATTTAAGTAGTCTGCTTAAAGGTTCTATACTAGTTGTCATACCTGAAACTTGTCTATAGATTTTCTATTTAATTATTCTAGTTTCTGTATTTACCTACTTACTTCTGTTTACCAATGATTCTGGTTGATGCTGGTGAAAATATATTATAACTACTAAGTTTTTAAAAAGTTTATTCATATAAGGAATCTTTAACCTTGTACTAAACCTTTTAGAATCTTCTATATCTTATTTTTATAGCAAATCTGGTATTACTATGACTGAGATCAATACTGGCAGTTAGGGCATATTATTAAATCACTATGTTCTTGTAAAGTTTACTTCAACTTCAGTACTAACTTCACAACATATCCTTATTATTTTGATATTCAATTCAAGTTCTACCAAGTTTTCAAACCAGATAATTTAAAAAGGCAGATCATAATTATATATTTATAGTTTACATGTTTGTTAACATATAATCTTTTTCTTTAGAATGGATCCTGGCAGTCTGATTAGTTCTATTCAGCCCCTTCTCAAAGGTTGGCTCTTTGCCTAGTTTCATAAATTCTAGTTTCATTTTATAGATCTATTATTTATAGTAGTATCATCAAAGATTCAGGTTATCTCTCTACTTAGGTCTTCTAAGTGAACTTCTGTTTTCCTACCTGGTTCTTATAATTTACATGACCTAAGAACTTATTTTGGATTTATACTGTTCTGGTACTAATTTGTATTTCTTTGTACAATGTTGCACAAATGTCTAGACCTTTCAGTCATGCTGATATGACACAGGTTACAGATATTTTATCCTAACCAATTATAGAAAACAGTTAACTGTAATATAACAAGAATTGTAAAGTTTTGTTATTACTAAGATTTGAACTTTAGATTTGCCACTTGAGGGTTGACAACCTATCTACTTTACTAGGTTACCATATCATATTTTTTAACTTTTCATATATTTTTTATAAAAAAAGATCAGTATAGATTAGTATTCTTAAAAACTTTACTTATAAGAGCTAATTTAGATAAGTAATATATAGTGAATAATGTTATATAAACTTATTTTTACTTTTAAGCTTAAAAAAAATATTTATTAACAAAAATTTACAAAAGCCTGTGCAGATTAAGTAAATAAAATTTTGAACATAAACATAGCTACAGGTACAATAAACATATATTAGTACAGACATAGGCACAGATTCAAAAATTTAATTAAGAATTTTTAAGTTGGCATTGGTGCTGTTACAAGGTAAATTATTAGCATAGTATAGTATATTATATTATTAGTAGTTATTATATATTTATTATTGTATTTTATATTATATTTATT